ATAACTTATATCATTTTGTACATAACGTGTAAAAATGAGTCCAAAATTTTGCATCTAAGGCAAGATATTAAACTTTTTTTCGAAGAAATCAATAGTAAAATTGCATTGATTTACAATACCCTTTTTAGCAGTTTTAGAAAAACTGAATTGATTTGTCCACTACTGTATGAATAGAAGTTTTCGAAACATTTCCTTTCAGAGTAGTAACCACGCTCTATCTAAAAAAAAAGTGTTAGCTTCTTCTCACCTTCTGTTCACATACAACAGTCTCGCATTTTTCCAGGAACTTTTGCAAGACTCGTTATGTTACGCTATATTGTAATTGAATTAGGGATGTCAAACAATCTATCAAAGTTATTATTATCTCTACTATCCGCATTGGATGTTGTAAAAGTAGATTGAAGTTCAATCGATTACTTTTCATCATGTTTAACTGCGTTCGTCTATCTTGTTGCAACTTAGTTCCGTTTTAGTTCTTTCTCTATCTAAGATAGTTGCATATAGTATTTTCATAGGACTAGCGCTTTCTCGATGTGGAAAATAAAAATAAAAATAAAAATAAATCAATGTTCACTATCATACATGAGCTTAGTATTGCTGAAAAAATATATCTATGGTAAGTTTTTCTCTGTACACTTTACTTTTTGATAAAAAAGAGGATAAAAAGAGGTGGAGTGGGTGGCCAGAGTATGTCATAGAGCATATAAAATTAAAACGCCCTGATCTCATTGCGCTGTTCGATGAATTAAGTTTGATTATTCATTCAATTCAGCAAAATGATTCTACTCGATATACCTTCAAACTAATGAAATAGAGACTTGAAAAGAATAATCGACGTATTGATCAGTTATAGTTTACGAGAAAACAATAGTTGAAAATTGAAATTATTTTGAAAATAGACCTGGTAATGGAAACAATTGAAATACTAAATCAAATAGGAAAAGAAATGAACAATGACGGGGAAAGTTATTTCAAACAAATTGCAAACATGAAGAAAAACATTGAGCAATGTCGAAATCAATGAAATCCAAAGAAGAAAGCATCGACTGTCGAAACGTTACAACAAGAAAAAATGTATTCTATAATAATCACGAGAACATTTATTGAGAAACAATTAGCAATTATTTCACAGAATATTCCACCAACGAAATTCTCAATAAGGAATGTTTATGTAGTAACTTGTAATAATTCTAACCATCGTCCAATATTTTTCAGCTATGGTGTAAATGCTATCAATAATAGTCATACGAAGAGAAATAGCTACTTGAAATATCTTGATTCATACAATGACATAATAAATCGAGATGCGATGATTTTTACTGGTAAGAAAAACTTTCAAAATGACATTCAAGTCTACATATTGATGTATGTCTGCAAACATATTATTTATGTTTGTTTATGGAAAAACTATTGAATGACTTAACTATATATGAAAATGTCATAAATGATCGCCATATGATCGACACATATTCATTTTAGTTTTTTAATATTTTTTGAAAATGAAAACATGAAAAGATAATGTGTAAAACTGTTCTATTTTATGCATCCACTATTGATATGAATTATATGATTGAAATTCCCTTGTCTAATGCAAAATTTTCGTTATAATTTTCTGCGTTCGTATTCATGTTACATGAATGAAATCAACCAAATGAGAATATTAAAAGTTCCTATAATATGCGAAAATATATAAATGATCAAGGACAAGTATTTTTTTTAATATTTACTTCTAAAAATGAGTTTCAGATTTGTAGTAGATGACGCTTCCGAGCAGCACGATACCTTTACACGAATGGCGTTTTTTTCGATCAATCAATATGGAGAATGTCAAAAACAAAATACCTTTTTCGTGTCTTTCAACTTGGAAGAGACATTTTAGCATATACAATGAATGCATCTACATGTGACATATGAATCTGTGTAAGTCAGATATATCGTGATCTATGCTTAATTATATTCTATATTGATTTATCAGTTAATAATTAGATTTTTATATTTAGATATTAATCTTGAATCCACTTCATGAAAATTCAAATATCATCTTATGTCATATGATTCGTTTTATAATCAATATCCATTTACAATGCATGCTTATTTCTTTGAAAGAAAATATTGAGTAAAAGTAGTTTCAATTTGTTTTATCTGTTTGATAAAAACAATATTTTTGTTTTGTTTTATATAAAACCATAAAGGCCGTACGTATTCGTTTTTAAAACGACGCAAAAAATTTGTCACATCAACGGTAATGTTGAAGGTGTGGTTTTCTTCAGAATAAAAATCTAATGCTAATGCTCTATATTTTTACTGCGATAAATATTACTGTCCTAAATACTCTCTGGAATATGTCTAACTGTCAAATAAGAAATTTATTCTTAAGTTTTAATTTTAAAAGTCTTTCATGAATAATTTTTAGCGAGGGATTATAAATCATCTTTCTCAATTATTTATGAAACAACATGAATAGTGACGTACAGAAATTGAGAAAAAATGCTGTTGAATTGAATGATAAAAACAGAAAATACAGAAGAAAGTTCTTCGATCAAAATCGAATTTGAAGCACTTTAACGAGTTTACTATGAAAATACATTCATCAAAAAAATCGTTCATATTAACAAGTGGGAAAAATACATCAAGTCATTTCGAACACCGTATTCAATCTTGAAGGTGATAAGTGTTTTTTTTTGTCGAAATAAAACTTATCGAACTGATTCATCACCCTTTCATGAATAAAACAAGACAGTTCAGTTCTTTCATAGATTTCGATTCATTTCTAGGATTGGAATATCAAATCTAGATAAATGGATGTGTTTCATACTAAGGAACAACATTGGTGCCTGATATGATGAAGGATTTCATCATTGCTATCACGATATAGTGTCAACACCCACTATTATTTAGTCAAAACAGAATGGAAGATTACTTGGCGAATACTCATCACAAGAATAGACTTTTCCAGTAGACTATGCGGAAGATAATGATAACACTTTATACTTCATTCATATTAACGCTAACATGGCCTCATTTACCTGATTTTTAATAAAATTAACAAATACGACAGTTGCAATTGTTCACAACAGCACATATAGGCTGAAATTAGGAACATGGTTGTGATCTACATTTATGAAGCGAGAATGAAACAACCACCAGTAGAATTTCAGTCTTCAGTCTATGTAAGAGCATATTAAGTGGGGGGTCATTTATATTTACTAATAGGTATCAATTTGAAATAATCGATATTCATCTCTAATAATTAACATGAATTAATATGTCTTAATGAAGGTTTTTCATCGAACAAATGAGATCTTGCTTGCTTTTTGAAGTCTTCATTATAATAAATAATGCTTTTAAATAATCATTTTCTTTATTTTCAGATATCTTTCAAAATCAAAATGGCTACTTCGAAATGTTCTATTAATGGATGTAAACGTAACTCTGATAATCTGTGTAATCATTGCCAAAGTCAAGTTTGTACTAAGCATTATATTGAACATGTAAAACTTGCAAACAATGAACTCATTGCTCTTTCTGATGAAATAAATTCAATTGTTGATACAATACAACAGCATGATCTTACAGTTTATGTTTTCGAGCAAATTGAGCAATGGAGAGAAAAAAGTCATCGACGTATTGACGAAATATGTAATGAGAGAAAACAACAGTTAAAAATTGAAATAGATCAAAACATAAATAATCACATGAAGAAACTTCGTGAACTAAGTCGAGAAGTGAAAGAATTGATTGATGAAGGAGATGCTTCATTTAAACAAATTGAAAATATTAAGAACAATATTGAAAAATGTCGAGAACAGTGTAAACAATTCGACATACCAGATTATTTTCGATTGAACCTGAAAGCAGTCAATTTCGAAATCACATTATTGCATCATGAATTATTTACAGGTGATGGTACACTATTATCACTTGAACATCAATTGAAATTGAATAAATTCTATGGTATAGAAGGACAAAAATGGACATTAGTTTACAAAGCAACACGAGATGGCTTTTCTAGTTCTGATTTTCATCGATGTTGTGATAATCAAGGTCCAACAATAACTGTTATTCGATCGACAGAAGGTGGTTATCTATTTGGTGGATATACATCTGTTTCTTGGCGTCCAGCAGAAGATTATGTTCTTGATTCTGATAATCCATTTTTGTTCACATTAACCAATCCACATGGGATTTCTCCAACTAAATATCCAATCAAAACGCCAAAGTATTCTATCTATGCTGGCACAAACTATGGTCCAACATTTGGTGGTGGACATGATCTTTATGTTCATAGTAATAGTCAAGCAAACAGACGCAGCTTTTTTCATTTTCCTCATTCGTATACTGATACAACAGATCAAGGTGCAGTGACTTTTACCGGTGATCAAAACTTTCAAACAAATGACATTGAAGTTTATCGACTAATACAAACATAATATTACTGCTCTTCGTGTTATTTAAAAATCAAACTATTTTTAGCTACTATTTTTATAACAATGGTGTTTGAATACAATCTCATTATTCATACAATTTGTACATTCTCATTGATTACTACAAAGAACTAGGGGGTGGGAAGTTACTGTTACCGTTCCCGGACAACGGTCTGGAAACGGTAACTTCCCACCCCTACAAAGAACAGTTATATCGAAAAAGAAAACTTGGGAAAACAATTTTTTATTTTCATGTTAATAAAACTTTTTTTAATATGTTTCTATAATTCTACTAATACATCTATTTTTGGGTCACAAAAAAATTTTAAGAAGAAAATTATTTCGTAAAGCATGAACAGTTTTTCATACGTTCTCTCCCTTATGTAAATTCCAAAGTGGATTTAAAAAAGAAAAGGCTTACGAGTAAATTGGTGTAATCCGACGGACTGATTTTATTCGTCTATAAATAGATACGTCTTGCTATAGTCTTTCCAATGCGGCATGAACTTCTCTTTGGCAAGAACAAAGGTAATCAGCTAATGACAATACATGTTGTTATTCTTGTTTTGTCATATCATGATATTATAGTGTATAGAACTTAAGTAGAGTTAGAGTTCTAATGTTACAACATTATTAAAGTCTATATTCATACGACTTTTTTTTAGGACACTTATTTTCTTCTGAGAGTCACAAGATAAGTTTTCATTTCCAAGGTTACAGAAAAAGTTGATAACTCATCTTAAATTTGTATCAATATGAAGAGTCTCTCTGTACAATCTTTGTAATAAATGATCTCCTTGGTTAAATATAAATTCAAAACAATGAAAACGATATTATAACATCTTTTTATTTGTATTATCTTTTAAATAAATTATCTAAATAGAAAAAAATAGCAACATAACACAAAAAAAAATGAACGAAAAGATAAAAACGTGAGTGAAGAACAGAATAAACTTCCAAAAAATTATGAGCAGTTATTCGATTGATAACATTTATAAAAACAATAAGAAAAAAATCAACTTAAAAAATGAGAATTGATGAGTAGTTAATAAAAAACTCACTTGTATATAAATAAATAATAAACTTATGTAAATGGAATGTTTTCTTTAAAAAAATTAAACATCAGCATCTTCTATTTTTACTTCAGGATATGTATACATTTTTACAATATTAATAATGTCTTCTGTTTTATATGATGGATAAAGACCTGATGTGCCATTTTTTGTATGAGATCCTTGTGAAAATCCATCCCAATGATTACCTTCTGTCTTAATAATATCACCACGTTCAAAACTAAGTTCACCTGGCCAAATATTTTTATGAGATATAACTGCTCGTTGATAATGTGAACTTTGACCACCAAAATAATAAATATCATCAATTGATTGGATGCGCCATGAACCATCAACAACATACTGTTGCATTGCTTCATAAGCCACACGGCAAAACTAAATTTAAACATATTCATACGATAATATCATTCAGGAAGACTTTTTTTAAAATTTGACTCTTTTTTTTTACTCTTCATCTATCTAATTTAGTCAATATTCACAAGAGTCTTGATATGTAGAGAAAATCTTCTTTCTTTATTTTAGAACTCATTTTACCTGTGATGAAAAGGTGCAAACAAGATAATCACACAATGAAAGAAAATGAAGATCAAGTAAAACACCTTTCAATGATCCTGCTCTAAATCTTGAGTTCATTTGAGCAGATTCCGCTACAGCTGTATCACCATAAAACACATAATCAGGATACCTTTTTCATATAAATAAAATAATACGAAGATTATTTCATAAAAAAAGATATATGAAAAAACTAATTTATACTTGGTACGAGTATCATTAAAAACAGATGGATCATCAGTTGCTAAGTAAACACGTTTGGTAAATTTTAAATCTGGATTTTGATATTGATATATAATATAAAAATCTTCAACATGTTTCATATATTCTGATAAATCATGATATTTGGCTTCAACATCAAGTTTATCTGTTCGTCGTATATGAATTCTTTAAGTAAAAAAAAAAGATGATAGTTTTCAATAGAGACAAAAAAATCATCAAATCAAGATTCGTTTTTACCCAACAAACGGCGTTTTAAATTTAATGGCTTCATATTTTTTCTTCATAAATTCAGCTAACCATGGTTGTGGTCTCAATAAATATTTCAATAATTGTCCAGTAAACCAAACAAATGGATTACCATGTAAACGAATAAGTCGATCAGATATATCTTCAGGTATTGCCATTGGCAAAAATTTCGGTCGTGGCTTAAGAATATCAATAAGTGGAATCTGAATAACATAATCTTCTAGGCGACTTCCTATAAGAAAATTAAGTTTTTCTTTTTCTATTTAAATAAGTTAAAATTTACCCCAATACGACATATCAGCACCCATAGATTCCGTACAATTATGGCTTGGATATTGAAATATTTCACCAAATCCACCAGGATTATATGTCCAGTTACCTATTAAGTTATTAAACAAAACACAAAAATAAATATGATAAACGAAAATGTTGAAGTTAAGGTTCTACATAAATGTTTCTATCTTCCGAACACTATTTATGTAAAAGTTTTTTTTCTTTAACTTTCATGAAAAAAAAAGAAACATAGAATCATTAAGACAAATGTAATTTTCTATCATGAAAACAGGTTTAACGATTTCGAATATTCAAGACTTAAAATATATCAATGTATATTTTAGATTTATAATTAATTCTTTCTTAACGATGTATTTAAAAATAATTTCTACCAGAGATTAGAATCATTGGTCTTCTAAGTGCATACGCAATTTGGAAACAGCACGTAACATGATGAATTTCACAACCAAAACCACAATTTTTATTAAGTTCACAAACAAACCGTTTAACATCTCTACAAGGTTTGGATGGATTTTGTAAAAAAGTTAATCTTTCTTGTATTAATTTTGAAAGATTTTCCTGTTCACGTTCACGCCATGGTTGATATCCATCAACCTTAGTTATATTTCGTATTGAAGCCTGAAGTACTCTACAAAAACAAAAAAGATAAATTCGCATGGATTAATTTATGAAATTAGATAAATTAATTTATATGTATATTTTTTTTTTGTGCTTTTTTATTTTGAGAACAGACCTACTTTGTTCACCAAATTGTTTAATGATATGTTCCCATATTAATTGATCTTCATTGGACAACTTTTTAGAGATTTTATTTAATTGATGATTAGTAAAATAATATAATTCACGTGCTTGAGTTTCAATTTTTCGTCGTAATAGTTCATATTCTAATGTAGGTTCATCTAGAAATCAATAAGATATTCATCAAATGATATACAAAGATTCAATACAAATACATTGTAAAGTTTTTGTACTATCATTTTTTCTCCTTAATTGATGTTTGACACGTTTAAGTTCATGTTCAAGTTTTTGACATCGATTCCTATTAATGAACAAAAAAAAATAAATAAATATTCAAGAGTTATAGTCAATTTAAATAAAATGAAACATTTTTGTATATAACAATACATATAAGTTTTCAGATTATCCAAGTTTAAGAGGATTCATCTTCGTCTTTTATGGGTTTCTTGAGAACAGCTCGATGAATAATATAGGAAACTTTCAAGATAGATACATCTTGATAAGTAGAGTAAAAGTTGTCATAGACTAAAAATTCTCAGAGACTTCCTTCAAGAATATATGGAGGTCGCAAAGACCAAAAATGGCTAGAAGTTCACCCGTCCCACAAACTCTATACTTCATTTGATTGAACTCTAATCTTTATTACAGCTAGAATCAAATCGAAGTTTGTCTTTAGTTTTTCAAAAATATCATTTCTAGATCTCAAAAGAAGCAAAATACTGAAAGTACAGCTAAAAGAGCGTGTTTTTCTCACTGGTAATAATTTTTTAACAGCTGTTGAATGTCGTGAGACCAACATTATGAAGAAAAAATGGATCCATTTCAATTATGGCCAAGGTACTGAAAAACGAAACTTGAGCCTGATCGGACTTACCGTGTGAAAGAAAAACATAAAATAAGCTTTTCTGTATGTATCAGGACTTTTTTTCTCCAACTAAAATGATCAAAAAGTGGCCGTGCTCTGCGGTGTTAGAAGTATATGAGCCATGTTCTCAGTACCTTAAGTAATTATGATTAGGAGAATTTTGCATACAGAGAAGAATCACCGTGCTAGTTTTCGAGAGTTGGATTTAATAAAAGTACTAAATAATAAGAAAGAACTCTGATTTATATGACACTTGACAAAGGACACATCGAAGCTATATTAGCGATGAAAAATCAAAAATATTTTGACTTGAATATTCGAAAAGGGAAAGAGGTTTCTTTAAGTAAAACTACCTAGATGATTGTGCTTGGTCCTTATTATATGCTTGAATTTGAGCAATTCTTATTTGCAGTGATTCAACTTCATTGTTTAAATACTCAATACGATCTGCAGAAGTTTCATCATTAGTCATTTTAACATGGAATATTACCATAACCAAATACAGTCCAATTATCCATATTGATATAAAAGAAATATGAAATTTGTTTCTCAATAAAAACATTATCTATCTAAAATTCATCCAAAAAAAAACAAAAGTTAATAAATCATTGAAAAGGAATCAAATATTCTTTTCACTTTTTATTAATAACTCAAAGTACTACATCTAACCAATCATTATAAATATTATAATGAACACATGATAATCGACAATATTATTATACAGTGAATATATTCTATTCTATATAAAATGAAGAGAATGTTAAAAAGATTTGTTGTTTGTCTACATCGAATTTATTTTTCTCTATATTATAGAAGATAATTTTATTTATAGAATTTATCTTCAAATGTTCAATGTATACTATCAAAACTTAAATGAACATTCACAATTCATATTAAACTCAATGAGCTATTTAGAAATTTTTTTTTCTTTATTTGAATCTGTCTTATCAACGTCGCTTTTTACATTTTATAGTCTTCTTTAATGCATGGAAACAAATTATTTCCATTTCATGATAAAATTTTTGATTATATAATCATTGATAATTTTTCATATCAATCGAAACTCTGAAACGACGTTCATTAATATGATGTATGATGCAAAAGTAATGACACAAAATGTCGATGCCTATTCCTATTCTATAAAAGAGTGTTGAAAACAAAAAATTTTTTTGACCAAACGATACAGTTTTTTCTCTTCTTTTGAATTCTATAGAACTCATTTTTATAAAACATTCATAAACGAAACAATGCAACAGAAAAGAGAAGCATTTTTAGAAGAAAAAAACGTAGTTTTTCTGTACAAAAACAACACAAAATGTTGATCCCTAGATTTTGTTATGTAGTGAGAAATTTTCTCTTTTTTTCAAATAGTATATGATGTATATTTGTCATAAATTCGTAAATTTAATGATAAAATAAAAAAAGAGAAACATACGCGAAATAAATTCATAATGTTTATATGAAATCGTTAAAAATATTTTGTAAAACGATATTTAATTATAATTAACTTTGATCTACGAGATATTTCTGACGAATTTATATGAAAATTACGTATGTATTTCACCATTGCTTCTTTTTTTTCTCGTCTCGCTTCATTTGCCAGTACGTGATAAATATCAATGATGTACTGTTCGAAAAAGTACGATGCGTCGCATCAATGGATAAAAAAAAATGTTCTTTTCATAGCCTATTTATAAAAGAGACATACGAATCAACATTTAGTGGCATAACTTTTGCATCGTACATTAATTTTGTATCATACCAGAAAAATTATCTATTACAATAACTTGTTCGTAATTTCAATGAGATTCTCCTTCACATAACAAACAGATAATAAATTAAGTACTGCCACATGTTCTATTATTATTATTACAACAATATATTTATTTGTTTTTATTTTCATTAGTAATGATATATCAAATAGAATTATCCTGTTTAAAACTCTTCAAATTAAAATAAATAAGTTTCCCAAAAAAACCGAAATAAGCGTTTTTCTTTTTATTAGAAATAGACGTGTTTAACCACATAATAAGAATGACAATAACACGAGGAAAAAAAACACCAAAAATATTGAAAGTTCAACTTAATTAAAATCAATAATATCGCTGCCACTCCCCCCAATTTGAAATGCCATTTATTCCCTAATAGAAATATATCAATGCTTGAATATAATTACAATTTTTAAATGAATAATCAGCCTCATTTGCTATTATTCAAATGCTGGAAATCGTGCATTTGTTGGTTTAAGAATATCAGCCATAAAATAAATTGTACCAGCAAGACCTAAAGAATCTCATTATTATAAAATAATTATTTTAGAATTAATGATAAATTATAATCACCTTCAAATAATGAATCTGGATGATCAGGTGTTCTCGATAAATCATGTTTTCCATAATCCAAACAATGTCCAGCAAACTAGAAAAATAAAATATATAAAAATTATATCATTTATTTAAAAAACAAATAAGTCTAACTTTAATAGCTCTATGAAGCCATTTTGTATTATTTGTTGCACGGTATAAATCAAGAAAAACATAAGCATTACCAGCTGTACCATGACAAAGTCCATAACCTTTTCTTAAAAGTCCTCGTTCCCAAACAATATCACCAGCAGATTGAGCAAGATCCAAATATGATTGATTACCTGTTGTCTACAACATATAAACAGAATCTATTTTTATAAAAATACACTTAAAATACTTAAAAATTTAATTCTTCTCATTCCATTGACTTACTTCATATGCTCGAACAAATAAAAAAACAAAACCAGGTGCTCCATGACACCATTGAACAAGTTTATCAGATTTACTATCACTTGACGATAAATAATTTCCACTTGGTAATCGTTTTGATTTAAGAAATTCAACAGTTGGTATTAAATGTGATTGAACATATGATCGAAGATTCGAAAATGAATCATCATGTGTTACCTATACATAAATTTGTTTTCTATGTAAAAGAAAAATTTTATTTCAAACCTTAAGTAATAGATAAATGATTCCTGAAACACCATGTGCTGCTCCCAAATATTCACTATCATGCCATTGATACATTAATGGAGATTGTGAACATGATTCTCTAGCATATTTTTCACCAGATTTAATAATTGATTCGAATACCTATTAATAGGAAACAATAGGTTTATAAGATTTACTACCTATCGATTATATAAAAAAATATTTATTTCAATTAACGCTGTTCTTGTGTGAGAATTCATTTTTTTGTTGATTATTTCAAAGAAGAAAAATGAGCACATGAACAATCATTGTATTGTCAGAACAAAACAGAAGATTCCAATAAATAATATAAAACTCAGAAGAGATAGCTGTTTAGTTTTTTGATAGATACTGAAAATATCTCAATCGAGCAGCTTTCAAAAACGCTGGAATATCAATACGATCTTCATTATAATGCTATCACAATTTTATTAAACATTCAATAGCGGCGGCGTGAGACACGTACTCGAAGAAAAAAATTTTAAACAAGGTTTTTGCGACTTTTTCTAGAAAACCTTGCTTTTCATACGACATCATCAGATCTGCTTCGACTCATGTCTGACCATGCTGAGATTTTAATTACAGATAATTGGTAGCAATCTTCAGAAGGTAAATTCGGTTGTTTTTTTATTTTCTTATTAAGAGTGAAAGATTTCTGAATATCAGCACCTCGGTTTTGAATATGAATCTTTACATATTTCTATCACAAAAAGTAATTGATCTCGATACGATTTTATGGAAAAAACACGAAAAATCTTGTTTAAAATATTTTTCGTCAAACAGATCTGTCCTCATTTTAGATTCTCTATCTACAATAAAAGTTTCATATGAATCGGTTGTATTCTCTTCAAGAACCATATATAATCAAAAACAGAAGAGAATTATCCTTAAATCAATCGCAATGTAAATGTTTGGATTTAGAGAATTGACATCATTTTTTTCATTTGCGAATGTCAACCGTTCCAATAATTAATAGTACATAGTGTATATTGATATTTTGTTCTGATAATACAATGATTACTTATATGCTCATTTCTCCTCTTACAAAATAGTGTCACATGGAAAGTAAATCGTGCACATGCTTCTATTTACTTCAGTAACAAGTTGATTATCAATAATATCATTTCGAATTTCTTTCCGAAGAAACATTAATGAATAAAGATAACCAGCACGTCCGTAAAGATATTCATCCGGATTTGAATCACTTAATGCATCATTTTTCATCGATATAATTCTAAGAAAAAAATGTTCAAACTAATAATCAAAACAAAACATACATATGTATCTATTTACTTGTCTATATATTTATTTACATTTTTTTGATCGTTTAAATCATTATAAATTACAGCTGCTATCGCCAATGGTCCAGGATCACCATTCAAAAATGAAATTCGTTTACCTATATTATATTTAACTATTAAAATAAAATTACGATCATAAATTTCTTACCTTTAAGTTGTTCTAAAGATGAATCAATTAATACCTTTGCTTTAGATCTATAATTATCTTTTTCAGCTGGAAAAAGTATTGCAAGACGTAAGTAAAGTAATGCAATACCTATCATTTTAAGAAAATCATTTCATCTAATAAGAACAAAAAAAAAAACGTTTTTTTTTTCCTTACCAGCACTACCAGTATAAACTGTTGTATCAGATGAATCAGTTCGATTAACATGTCGTTCAAGTTTATGTGTTTGATGTTCAATCCAATGAATTATATTTGAATTTATTTCTGGAATTAACTAGACAATAAAAATAATATTTAATAATTATAAAATATCAAAAATAAAAAACAAACAACGAACTTGATTATGTGAATCAAGATAAGTTTCACCATTATAATCAGCATAATTATTTTGAAAATAACGATCAGTCATGATCGAATAATTGCAAGTATAAAAAGTTCAATAGGAATATACTGAAAAACTATCAATGAGTTACTGTTTAAAATAACAACAAAAGAATATATAAAGACGAAAAAAGTTATTCACATTACATAAGTTTGAGATTTTACTCTTAGTTAACAAAAGAAAAACAATAATAACTATAAATCAGTTTTATAATTTTGTAAATGTAAATGTTCATCAATTTCTTTATCATTTGGCGTTAATTGATTATCTTCAGAATCAGTAGGTTTAGATGTACTTGTTTTGTGTTTAGCATTAATAACTTTTGCCATTTCATAAAGAAGATCAGTAATATGATGTTGATGCTAAGAAAAAAAAAACAATATGTTTTCTTTTTTATCCTAAACAAAAAAAAAATTCTTGTCTATTCTTACTGCTCCATTAATTTGTTCAACTTCAGTTGTTGTTATTTCACCATCACCATCGACATCAACAATACCATAGAACTTAAAAAAGTAACATATGTTGCTTTTTTTTTTTTTTTATTATAATTTTAATGAATAAACCTCTTCAAATATAGCTGATGCTTCTGGATCTGATGACAAATCGTATGATAAATGCTAAATAAACTATTATCAATTACACTATAAATTAAAAAATATTTTATTACTTTAGAAAATATTTCTTGCCATTTATCGAATCCCTTTACTTTTGAATGAGCAAGATTCATTATTACATCTCTGAAGAAAATAAACAAAAATAAAAATTTATATAAAATTAATATTTCTTTTTGTTTTTACCTGAAAGTCTGAGGTTCAACTGACCAATCAATTTGATCAAGTGTAAATGTTGTATCATAAGTTGAACAATTTTTCAATTGATTTTCATCAATATTTAATGCTGGTTGATGTTTTATATTATAAATAATTGATATTGTATTTTCAAATGTACGTTCTTGAAATAGCCAATTACTTGGAATAAATAAACAATCACCGGATTTTAGATTAGCTATATGATAATCAATATTTGTAAATGCAGGATATTGATCAAAGTCAACTCTTTAATAAAAATCTATTATTTCAAATGAATTAAAGAAAAATTTGTGATATACTTGTCTGGATTAATCGGTGGTCCACGTTGTTGTCCTTTTTCTGGTAGAATAGTCTTTAGAAAAATAAAATTTTGTTTATTTTTTTTTTTTAGAAATAAAATAATCAATTGGAATTTTCTTTCATCTTACTTTACGAACATTAGGATATTTCAGTGTATTAACAAGAACAATACGTTTATTACCACGAAGAATACAATGAAGACGATCATGATCTTCACCAAACAATAATGGTGATGTATTAATACCATTTATGACTAGAATCTATATAGATTTATTTTTCATTTAAATAATTTTTCATTACAAAAAAAAAAAAATCATACTGCAGATTGAAAATATTCTAATACAATTTCACATTGTAAAGGTTTTGGAACGACAAGATATTTTCTACAAATAAAATTAATCAAATACAATTCAAATAGAAAGTATTTTGATATTATTTATATTATTGTTGGATAAAGTTTGACATGTTGATCATGAATATGTGGGCTTCGACTTTTTAAAAAAAAAGCTTCTTGCAAGAAAAGAAAATTTGGAAATAGTTCACGAGTATAAAAATCATTCATTTGGAGAGAAAGTTAAACTTTTTAATAATTCTATTACTGAAAATTTCAAAACTATAGTTTTTTTCTTATGCATCTATTTTATCGAATTTAAAGCCATAAATTTGTCTCGTATGTCAATGCCGGTCCCCTACTAAGGCACACTAATATCCAACTTTGCAATCTTATTTATTAGTTTTTCGTACGAACAGATGAAGTCAAATTTAATGTGTCATTAGAACCTCTATAATAGTATCATTCATTTAGTTTTTAAAATTTTTGTGTTATTTGTGAGAAAATGAAAATCGCCATTAAAGGGCAAAATCCTGCGAGAATTCATCTCATCGAAAAATTTAGCATGTACTCCACCGGAGTTGAATTTCTAGTAGAAAAAGTTTTCTAATTGAATGTATATGACTCGATGCAGATTTTTAAGTTGATTAAGAATGTGACATTAATTTAGCTCTTTTCTAACAGTATGATGGTCACAATTCAGAATACATCAAATTCACGAATCTCAAATGTTCGTTATCGATACATCAAATTCTATAAAATAATACATGAATAACATCAAAAATATTTCCACTCGAATTTTACATTGTTCATATTTCATATCAATAACATCTGCTTTTGATTGCAGAAGTCTTTTCTAATGAGAATAAAATGATTCTCGTGTTTTTTTTTGTCGTGTACATAAGAGATTAATAGTGCAAAGAAAAGATGGCATTATCTCCTGTCAAATTTGAGACGATATATGTCAACAAAAAGATTGATAGACTTCTTAGTTGGTAAGAGAAATTGTTTTCTAACGATTCTTACTGAAGAACGGTCGGTATATTCTGTGCAAATAATAATGGTTCTTTTTCATATCGATCTAAAAATTCTCCAAACGTCATTTGAATTCTTTGTCTTTGTTTTGATTTAAATGATTCAACTTGAATATTTGTATTTGATAATCCATAAACATCATTTTCAAGTTTTTTATCTGTTTCCCATATTGAATAATGATCATCATTAATTAATATTTGACGAGAAAGAATTGGTTCTGATTTAGGTAAATAATATGTAAAAAGTTTTACTACTGTTGGATATTCTTGATCTAATTCTTTGATATTAATTAAAGATCCAACTGAACCAAATGGTTTTAAATGACCAGGATTTTTATTAATAGCAAAAACAAAATGAATTATTGTCACCAAGAAAATTAAAGAATTCATCTAAAAACAATGCAAAAGAAAACAATAATATTTTTCTAAAACTGTAATAAAATAGAATTCACAGTTATTTAAAAAAAAAACGAAGCAAAGCAAAAAAAAAAATATTTGTTTGTTCAATTTTAGCACCATAAAATAAATTTGACTATAAATCATTATGTTCATCAATATAATCATTATCTTCTTCTTGGTCAGTTTCCTCATTAGAAAAATTTTCATTACTACGATAATAATTATTAACCATGTCATCATCATTTTTATCAATAGATGTATTATTTGATTTCTTGTTTTCCTTTAATTTATCGTCAACTATATCCAAAATATCTTCAAGAATATCATAAGCCGTTGTTATATTCTAAACATTAGTATAACAATAAAAGAAAATTTACAAAAATAGACATTTGTTACATTGTTATCAAAAAGAGATTCAACTTCATTAATTGTTATTAAACCATTTTCATTTTCATCAACTATATTAAAGAACTAAATATAATAGAAAAAAAAATTCGTTTTTCATCTTTGAATACAAAACAAAAACAAAGAATTACTTCAGCGAAAAGTGTAATCGTTTCAACATCTGATCGAAGATCAAAATCTAAATCCTTAAAAAAAAAAAAAACTAAGTCAAAAATTTTTTACTTTTCAACAAGATTTTTTTTACTTTTGAAAATTCAATTGTCCATTGCTTAAAACTTATTTCTTCTTCATCAACAAGATCAAGCATAAATTTTTTTAAATATTCAATATGTGATTCTTCTTTTGGCCATTGTATTGTATCAAGTCTCATGAAATCTGATTTATTTTTTAATAGACAAGTAGTTTGATTAACAACAGCATTTTTAGCTCGGTCATGATTAAGCCAATAATTAATAGCTACATTACGATTAGTCGAACGAACTTGATGAACCCATAAGGCAGGTAAAAATAAACAATCACCTTTACTTAAATTAACTTTATAATAATAGACATTATCATCAAGTGAAGGATATTTGTTATAATCAACACTAGATAAAAAAAAGTCATAATAATAAATTGATTTAATTCATAATAATAATTTTACCTATCAACATCAATCGATGAATATGAACCTGAATAAACATCAATAATCTAAATTAAGAAAAGAAATAGAAATATTTCACAAATTCAATATTTAGTAAATCCTATTCAATAAAAAAATTTAACAAAATCGAGCATAAAAAATAGTTTCAATGTATGTCTTTTAATAATACTAATTCATATAGTTTACTCTTTTTAAAAACCAAATGATTACACGAAGAATTCAGTATTTTAGTAAGTTTAAATAATAAAGACAAACCTCGGAAGCAACTTCTTTGTGTACATGTGGATCGACAAGAATAAATTGTTTATCGCCTTGTAAAACACAATTAATATTATCATAATCATCTGTATGTATAACAGATGAAGTATTGCCTGAACTTTAAATGAGAATAAAAAAAAAAAGAAAGAAAGAAATTAATTGACATTTTTTATTTTTTAACTGTCTTACCTATACCAAAACATCTATAAATAAAAACAAATTATTAATAAAAGTTTTTTTTTTTTTTTCTTTTCTCTAAAGTAAAAATAAACTTACAGCAACTTGAAATGAATCTATAGCTGGTTCACATTGAAGAGATGTAGGTAAAGTAAAATAAGGTCTAGGAAAAGAAAAAATTTAATTATTTATATTTAAATATTTGATGTTTTTTTTTTTTGTTTAAAATTTTACCTTAATAAATTTGGTACTTCTTCAACAAGATAAAGTTCTTCATGTTGATATCGTTTTAAAAATTCAGTCATTGTCATTGTTAAAATATCTTGTTTTCGACTTTCTTTTTTACGTGTTTCAACATGAACTATGTCATTATTTTTATAAAATATTTTATTTATATTTTCATCTTTATCCCATAGTGATAAATGAATATCATTAATAATAGCTTGACGAAAAAGAACAGGATGTGATTTTGAAACATATTTATTAAAAAATATTATTGGATCAGGAAAACCATCTGTTAATTCATCTAGTTTTTTAAATGGACCAGAAGAACCAAATGGTTTTAGATGACCTGGATGTTGAGATTTAGATGAATATACAAAAACACGAAGGATATATATAAAAATTATAATTAATTTATACATTATAAAATATTGCCAAAAAACGGTTAGAATGTCTGAAATAGATTATTAATTTTGATCCAATGATAATTGTTCGTTTCTTTTTTGTTTTAGAAACCGATTGAGAACAAAAAAAAAAAAAAACTCGAGCAATTTATTTCATATGCTGCTGTAATATACTATACATGAAGAAACATCCATTAAGAAGACAATCTGTGCATAGCCGTGGATGTCGCTAGTATTCATAATGATATTCTTTTTTTATAATAAAAACTAACTGATTTACAAGTTACATGATTATTTAATAGATGAGGGGTTGATAAGGACATCTTTTTATTAACGAGTCTGCGAAGAAAAATATATGACGATGACATTACACTTGTGGACATCAATTTACACTCTACAACAGTCTATTTCTCTTGAAATGTAAACAGTTTAAGAAATTCTTCCAAGAATGTGCAGAAATTTTTGAGAATATTGATTGAAAATCTCGACAAAAAGAAGCCTAGTGCTATTTTACATATATATTATATATTGTCTATATTGATATTGTAATATAGTTTGTATTCAATAAAAAGATATCCTGAATTGTTTGAAGTGATTTACAAGACATTGTTGATTTGTTTTATAAGATAAAAAATGAAATTTCATAAATCTCAATGATTCTTTTGTGTACTTATTATATATGCTTGCGTTCAAAACGAAAATCCTTTAGTCAAATAGCTTTATGTGATATGGCGATGCGTTGATCATGTACGTTTTGGTCAGCATAATAATAAATATTAACAAGTGGTCAGGGATTAAGTTAAAATAACTTTATCTTATTTGTGTGTTATCTATAATATATTGAAAAAGGATTAAAGGAAAGCATTGATGACTTCATTTCATAGTTGTTTGGAAATATTGAGCACTTTTGATATTTCTAATTTCTCGGTGGTATTATATCGAATCCAGCGTTCGAATCGATTGCGTACGTTCCTTGTCAATACCAGTAGAAATGGTGAAATCAAGCCATGACGACTGGTATACTAGCATCAGTCATCCTTTATTATTCATATCTTACCATAGTCAAATCAATCTCTCGATCAGTTCGTCTCGGCATCCCCATAACTACAATCATCATATGACAATCCTTTTCTTAATTCTTTTTATTAGTGTTTTCATAGTTTTTTCTCTCTTTATACCCATTGAAAAACAGAAAACTTCATAACTATTATTCGTTTTAAAAAAGAAGAACCATGAATATATTTTGAATAAAAAGTTTCCTTGAGACCTTCGATTTCAGCCAATTGATCTGAGATAACTCAAAAAATCATCTAGGTGCGAGTTAATTCATTATTATGAGTTCAGCGGTGATAATTGCTTTTTTATTCGAAATGATCTGACACTGTCATCTCAATATTTATGACATGTAGACTTATTATACTGTACAGCGGTAGGTTGTGAAAGTTTGGAAATACTAAGATAATGGCGTCAGATCATTTCGAATCCAAAACAAAACCAAAATCGCCATTCGACACAACATGTTGGATTAAGCCTGTTCGAATTATTTTCCGGGTTATCACAAGTCAATTAACTGAAATCAACGATCTCAAGAAAACCTTGATAACTCTTGAACAGAGCAAGCTAGAAATGGTAACTTTACGCAGATCAAAGGAGTACAATGTCTTCTATTTACTAGTCATAATAAGAATCACGACGAACTGCAAAGTGAGCCCAGGATATCGTTTTCAAAATATCTACCAAGAATTTATCTAATTGATCCAATGATGGTCAATAGAATTTGAGTACGTATTTATGCATCTAGATCTTCCCTTTATGATGGTGAAAACCGTAGTTCTCTATCTTGTGCCTATCAAAAGTTATTGAAAACATATTCACGGTTCTTTTTTTTGAATTGGATAATACAAATCCTATATCAACTTTCCACAATCAATATCTCTTCGTCTGATAAAGATGTTACTATTTAATTGTATATTTAATCTTCATCTCATATTATATTCGCTATGAACGTCTCCCACATCGTTTGACAGGATACTGTAGCGCATAGCATTCTCTACCGAAACGGTTATTTACCGTTACTGGTTACAACTTTTGTTCGATTATTCTTTCGAAAACTGAAAAATCAAATCAACTCTTTTATATAAAATGACATCAGCATTAAATTTTAAACTTTTCAAGTTCTTTTCAAAACTATTCCAATTATGAAACGATAACGTTCGATTATCGAAGCTATTTCACTATAGCTTCTTGTATATCCTGAATAGTCATTTATCTGATATATGTAATGTAAGAAGTTTTTGTCAGCATAGATCTTGAAGAATTTCTTCTGATAGGAAACAACTGATTAATTTCCACTAGACTTCATCACTGATTATTTCAATGAACAGTCGGACAATCTCTATATTTTTAATAGAATTAAGTAAAATAAATAATTGTTATATAAAAACAACAGAAAAAGCTTGATTCATAATAGAAGACTTTCAGTCTTTTACAACACCGATAGTATTAAGCAGTAACAGTCTCATTTAATTATCTTATTTAAAATAGAATTGAAAAAAAATCTACAAAGCATTAAAAGCAAAATTTCTCTTCTAGTCTATTAATTTCTACATCTTCTGAAAAACAAAATATTAAATAAATTGTAATTAATTGCAAGTTTATTCTCTTGAAGTAGTTTAAAATAATAACATAAAAAAAAATGTACGTAATATGTTAAATACTTCGATAGAATTTTAATTGATACGGAAATAATAATAAAAACAATCGAGAACGTAAGAACACTACAAACATGAACTGTAACTCGTTACACTATTACATAGAATAACAAATTATAAATGTGCAGGAAATCAATCAAAATCAACTCTTTAGAAAGAAAAAAGAAAGAAATCATTTCAAATGAATTAAATAAATACATGAAATATCTGTTTGAATTAACAAGAATAATATATTTATTATCATAATGAATAAAATTAAAATATTCAAACCGTTCGTCAAACATTAATAGTGATGCACATATGTTATTTATAATTGAAGTGATGCAGAATCAAATTTCATGATACTCAATTCATTGTGAATATTAGCCTTTTGTTCTTTTAATTGAAATTCTACCACAGGAGATTTTCTCACGTCTATTTGAAAAATTCTTACAAATCTTAAAATACTGTTTACTATTATTTCTACAATTACTCGTTACAGTTACACTACAAAAAATTAAGTATATCTTATTTTTAATTATCTAGATCCATTATAAACATTAATTTTCTTTTCAATTAATTAAATGAACAATTGTTATATAACTTAAAACTATTCACTTTTGTAACACGGTAATATGTGTTTTGAGTTTTTAATATGATATGGTCATCAGTGTTAACATTTTTTCTTATGTCATTAACATTCGTACCATATCTTCATTTGGTAACCTTTCTTTTCTTTTTTTTTTTCTATTATTGAGTTGACCTCAAATAATGATAAAGTATTGCAACAGGTGCATTTTAAAAAAAGCAGTTCATTCTTTTGATAAGTATAATGATGAAATTTATCGTTTTTTGCATGTATATATGAGCTAGAATCGTTCATTCAACAATTCGATAGCTGTCAAGAACATGTACTCTATTCATTTTTGCATATAAAGATGTCACATATGTTGCGTTCTACACCATTTGTCAATAATAGATCGTAGTAAAACTTTTTCTTTTCAATTCTATGTAATATTTAAAAATAAAACTAATTAAACATGTTCTTTTTCCTTCCTTTCTCTCTTTGTTTGAGATGGTTTTCATTCACGTGTGCCTGGCAGCATCGTTAGTTATTGTTGTTGTTGTTTTAAGACAACCCATACTTCTACGCATTACTTTCTTGGTTGTTCTCTTTTCTTGTTTTTCTTACCGTGTTCTTCATCACCTACATAAGCATGCACACATACTATATATCCATAAGAGGGGGAACGGCGAAAGTAAAGAAGCATCATCATAGAAAGAAAAATGAGACGCCTACTATAGTCAACATATTTTTTTTTGGCATTTCAATTCTACTACACGTTATACTTGACACATAAACGAATACGAAAAAAAAAACTAATCCGTCGAACATAATTATTTATTGCTATTGAAATTAACACATCTATTATGGCAACAACAGCCGGTAGTCATTTTATATCAGTTTCATCGTCAACACCAAAAAGTCGAAATAATGAAAGATTTCCACAATTAAATCTAATTGATAATAGTATATCTTTCGTTTTTTATTTTATCTTTTGTTTTTTTTTTTATTGTAAATAAAATTTTATTTTATTGAAGATTCTCATTCAACAAATGTCAATAGTGAATCAATGATTAGTGTACCTATTGGTGGTGTCCCAGTTAAATTTGCTGATAATCTATTCAGTCTTGTATGTTATGTAGTAAATCTTTTGAATAATAATAAGTAAATTCTATATTTGTTTTGCTTATAGCTTATTAAAGATCAAGTTAGTCAATTACTTGATTTACCACAAATAAAACAACTTAATTATGCTGAAGAAAATGCTGTTCGAAAATTAACATATGAAATAACTGAAATATTAAAACGTATTGTTGCACAACATATAAAAGATAATTATAAAGTTGTTATACAAGTAATGTCATATCCTAAACAAGATGAAAATAGTATTATTATAATGAGTCGATGTTTATGGAATTATCGAACAGATGATGTACTTTCAATTGAAATTGAAACAGATGCATTTAAATTTCTTATTCTCATTCATGGTGTTGCTGCATAAAATACGCTTGTTTTTTCCTCAATAATGATTTTGATTATAATAAAAATCAAGTGTATATTATGTTTTTTGTATCTGAAGGTAAATACATCAAAAAATAAAAATATTTTTTACTAGAGAACGAAAGAAAGAAAGAAAGAAAAACGTGTGAGTTCACTGAAATGAAAAGAAAATCTTTCTTTTTTTCTCATTTCAGAATTAATTATAAGTTAGTTCATGCATTAAATACTTGTCATACACAGAAAAAGAAAGTGAAGGTTTCTAG